ATGATTACTTTCCATCCCTGCTAAGTGCCAGTGATAGCACTGTCAAGAACGTAACTCTGCAGCATTGCCCCACTGCACCGCCAATCCTGCTTCCGAGTAGACATGCTTAGAATTGATCTTTCTCAGATGGAAAGAACTTTTTTTACAGGAGCTTTTCACTCCTTTCAGGATATTTCAGTCTCTGTTTCAGCCCTAGAGAGTATAAGCAAATCGGCTGAATTTAGGGGCGGGGGTGCTATCCCAGGATAATGGAAAAATATTGATATGTCCCTCTTATTCATATGTAACTGACAATACAATAAAACAGGACCTTCCATCATAAACCTCCTTGCCATATATTACTAACCTAGTAAGTTGAGCATAATGAAAAATACGCATGAAATCTACAACTAATGTCTATCTTTGCATCTGGTTCTGTTCCAGTGAATGAAATCTTTATACGTTTTTACATACTCAAATAACATATAGCTGGGGGACAATGAATTTCTGAGCTTTGTAGCCTTTTTTGAGATGGGTGATTGACAGCTTCCCAGGTTAAAATATTTGTCTACAGTAGTTGCAAAGTATGTCTGCAATCACAGAGACCATGACTTGTCAAATTTTCTTTACAGTGTTATAGAGAGTAACTCATTAAAATGCAAATGGCTTCTGTCAGGATTTATTGATCCTGATGTCAGCTACCCCCTAAAATAATAAAATGGTTGATTTTTATGTTATCTTTGGACCAGAACAGATGAGGAGTGTTCAGAAATAATCACCTTCTAAACAATGCTGAATAATGACAAGGGATCTCAAGGTGTAAATTGCATTACACTTGCAGAATATCAATTTACCCCAATAACAAAAGTAAATATAAAAAAGGGAAATAATGAAAAAGATCACTGATGGAATGTGGGATTATTCTGTGGGGCGGGGCGTTGCCCTTGTTTTACATTTTTCACCTTTTGTCAACATTTCACTATCCATCTGAAGCGGGAACCAGTTAAACTATTTTTCTAAGTGTGACCTTGGTTGTATTTGAATATGAATACAGCTTTCATTTTAAAAATATATATCCCGTCTTCTCCCAAACCGTGGCATCAATGCAGCCAGCAACAAATTCCAGACAGGTTAGCTAGGTGTACAGGAGGAAACAGGAAGAGATACAGGCACAGTGGCATAAGCAAGGGGCAAGGTCATGGTAGTATACTGGGAACAGGCAGGGGCAGACTAAGGAACAGTCTGTGAACTATAGATGTGGCTGATCTGTTGTACAAAATTGTATAAACTGGTGTGCAGGTGGGAAACGAAAATGATATAGCAACAGGAGAGTGTAGAGATAAGAAAGAAGACAATCCATAAAGCTAATTGGGGCCATTCAAGGTCCCCAGTTTTCTAAAGAGCTGGAGTGGTTCCCACAATGTCTGTGGTTCACTTCTGACTTATAACCCTAACAGCAACATCTCTGAAGAGCTGCCTTTGAACAGCTATCACATGTTTTAAAGTATTGGGCTGCAGTATAGCTCAAAGGAGCATATGTTGCCAAGTATGGCTCCTATCAAGTATACATTTAGAGAACAATCCTATACACAAGAAGCTGGCCTAAAGCAAGCCAGCATAAAGTTGTACCAGATCCAAGCCCTATTCAGGAGCAAGGCCCAAGCCTATCAGAGGGAAACAAGCCTTTAAAACAGGCATCCCCAAACTCAGCCCTCCAGATGTTTTGGGACTACAACTCCCATCATCCCTAGTTAACAGGACCAGGGGTCAGGGATTATGGGAATTGTAGTCCCAAAACATCTGGAGGGCTGAGTTTGGGGGTGCCTGCTTTAAAACTTACACTGCCATTTTCCCCAGGCCATGTGAATGAGCTGAACAGAGTTAAGATTGTCCCCTCTGCCCAGTCCTTCCGAACCACGCCCCCAGAACACCTCTTTTGGGGGACTTATACTGACTTCAGTTTAGCGAGCTGCAGCTCACCTGACTGAGCCCTGACTGGCATATCTTCAGCCAAGCCAGCGTTGGGGTCTTAACACAGGCTGAGCCCAGCTGAACCAGGCTCATTCATTCATTCAGAGATTTGCTGCATCCTAAAGTGCTCACCCAGGCAAATCTTGCCATAGGATTGCCCCCATAATCATTCGCGCTATCTAGTGATAACTAACCATCTAAGAGAAATAAACACTGTAATGTCAAAGTGCCTTTAGTCTGTCTTGTCAAAGAGCCCATTGAGGTCTAACTCCGTTCTCTGTATTATTAATCTTAATTCTTATTCACAGCGTAGACATAATGGATCTTTCAAATGAAGGCTTTGAATGACTATTAAAACAGTATGTCTTTGTGTACAGAATGTAAAAATAAACTGCATCGTATATATATTTAGCATATATCTCAGAAGGTCATGATACACATTTTGAACTTACTATGGAAATCAGACATAGAGACAACACTGAGTTCAGACGCAGGCAATAACTCTGATTCTGTCAAACAATATATGATGTAATTATATTCATGATCTGATGCTGTGTATATATTTATGACATTAAAAGGAGCAATAGACTTTTTTTTTAAAAAAGGCATTCACATTCCTAAGAAGCAACCATGAAAATGCTACATTCTATTCCAAATATTTTATTTAGGCTTCAATGCCCTCTTTGATACCCAATTTGGCATGTTTAATTGTCCACAGTGCATTATTAAATTATTAAAGCCTAGGGAAAAGTGAGTCTATAAATTTTGGGTTCTCTCAGTTTCTCATTTTTCCAATCGCAAGTTCAGTTCTCCACATTCCCACATCAATTTACTTAAAAAAAAAAGTCCTCATGGGAGTTCAGCATTTTAGCGCAAATTTCTCCTAATATACACATATTTATATGTAGTTCTGCCTGTTGTACACATTTTTAAAAGAAATTTCCCCAATATAATACATTTTTCTATGTTATTCTCACTAATATATACCTTTTAAGCACACTATGCATTTCTATACACATTACATGGCTGCAGAATTGCATATTGTTACAGGAAGTGCAAATTAGGTAGGTTCATCTTTAAATATGAACTGAATCAATTTTATCCCCATACTAAGATGTTATAGAATATATTGGGGAAAACAGATACAGTGGTACCTCGGGTTACAGACGCTTCAGGTTACATACGCTTCAGGTTACAGACTCCGCTAACCCAGAAATAGTACCTCAGGTTAAGAACTTTGCTTCAGGATGAGAACAGAAATCGTGCTCCGGCGGCACGGCAGCAGCAGGAGGCCACATTAGCTAAAGTGGTGCTTCAGATTAAGAACAGTTTCAGGTTAAGAACGGACCTCCAGAATGAATTAAGTACTTAACCTGAGGTACCACTGTATATGCCCCTGCCTTAAACCTCGTATGTGATGATGGACAATTTATACATATTTGGACCTCATTTGAGCAAATTCTTTGTTCTGTTGGAGTTCTTAAATAATACAGGCATGGTTCCCAACTTGAATTTCACTTGCATTGAATGTTGATTCTCACACTGTTGCTAATTCTAAACTGTTATATATAGGAACAAAGGAATCAGCTTTAAACCACATAGTTCAGTATTGTCTACTGACTGCCAGCAGCTCTCCAGGGTTTCAGATTGGGACATTCCTAGCACTAGTCTGAAAAATATATCTCCCTGCGCTCCATAAGAGATTAAGGGCTGGCTTGATTTTGAATAGGACACTCTGCTCAGCCATTTCTACCTCGGAAGGAAGCAGATATTATACTCCATTCCCAAAAACAACATCTCTGTCAAGCAGCCCAGGGGAAAGAGCAATAAACTGCTGGATCTCCCAGTACTAACTTTTTATTGAACTATCAAGTGCAGCCCATTTTACAGTAGGGGCATTTTTTAGGTTGAGCTATAACTATAGAAGGGACGCGGCGTTTCCGTGCGCTGCTCTGGTTCGCCAGAAGTGGCTTAGTCATGCTGGCCACATGACCCGGAAGCTGTATGCCGGCTCCCTCGGCCAATAGAGCGAGAGGAGCGCCGCAACCCCAGAGTCGGTCACAACTGGACCTAATGGTCAGGGGTCCCTTTACCTTTACCTTTATAACTATAGAAAGTAGATGGATAATAGAAGTTATGGATGCTATTAGAGAACGTTTGCCATGCTGTCCAACACTGCCTGGCATGTTCCTGGCATGATAAACTCATTGCTTAGAAATCATACTGATTTCAACAGGAATCCCTTCTACCTAATGATTATGGCCCCATCTGCACTGTTATATTTTAAGGAGGCACCATACCACTTTAAACTGTCAAGGTCACTATTCCCTTCACAGAGCTAAAATTCTCAGAGTGCTTATCAATTTCTCTTCCTAGGGAACTCTGGGAATTGTAGCTCTGTGAGGGGGAAAGGGCTCACTTAACAAGCTGCATTTCCCAGGATGCTTTTGGGGAAGCCACGACTATTTAAAGCAGTATGGTGCTGGTTTAAATGTATAGGCCTTACTGTGGATGCAGGCGATTACTATTTTTACACATAGAATGGAGGAGAACACAAAATATCTATGGAAGATCAGCCTTGTTAATCCCTGTTTTGTGGAAGAATATTTGGCTTTTTTATCCTCCTTCCTCCCTTAATTTTTTACAGCATCCTAGAGACAGACCAACTATGTCAGAGAAGCTGATTGGTTGAGGTTACCATCTAACCCATGCAGAGTAGCAAGTGATATTTTTTAATGTATGACAGGTTACATTCTTTCATAATGCTACAGTAATTGAATACACATGAAACTCCGGTGCACTGTGTGACCTTGAAGTGTGCCACACACATGGGAGCAGAAAAGTTCAATTAACGTGTCACCGCTACTAATAATGGCTATTAGTGAGAACCACCAGCCAGTTGCCACACAAAAGGAAACAGTAATCCCAGTATTTAGACAGATAATAGCATGCAGTAAACACCATGGAACCATTGTTTACGTGAGACTGTTCTAGATCAAGAGCTAAAATGTGCTCCCTTAGGAAGTCGTGTGTTTTTTTAAATTTATTAAATGACTGCATACAATTCTCTCTCTCTCTCTCTCTCTCTCTCTCTCTCTCTCTTTGAATTGTTGAATCATAAATGGCCTAGACAGGGCTCAGGGTACGTGTGTGTGTGTGTGTGTGTGTGTGAGAGAGAGAGAGAGAGAGAGAGAGAGAGAGAGAGAGAGATTTTATTTACATTCTTTGTACTCAGGCTACCACGAATGAATGTGTACCATTTGTATTTTTGTATGATTTGTTAATAGGATCACATATTTGTAAAATGTTAAGAAAATGAAAGAAACAGGGAAAGAAGAAAAGAAAAGTTTCCACTTCAATTCCAAAGGAACACTGAGAGTACCTTATACTGATTCAGACTATTGGCCCATCCAGCCCCAATTGCTGACACTGACAGGCAGCTGCTTTCCCTTTCAGGAAAGTGTCTCTTCCAGCCCTACCTGGAGACACTGGCAACTGGACCTGAGACCAGTCAGATAAGAAGCAAGGGTCAAGGGATTGGTGGTCAACTGCACTTCTTCAAGCAACTTGTCCACAATCCTCAGGCTCCAATAACTGAGACAAATCCAGTACAGATGGAACAGACAGTACTCTGGACACCCCACACTGGACTTGCTCTAACTTGTAGCAGCCAACTCTGAAGCTGAGTGATTTTGTCCCTAAAGTGCCTCACCAAGTTATCACAGCAGGGCACTTGGAAAAGCTGTGCTTGACAGCTACTTGCAGACACAGTGGTGGTGGTGGTGAAATAAGTTTTCTCTGCCACCGCTACCACATTCAGACTGAGAATTACACCATCTCCCCACTGTGTTTCATCGCACACAGGCCACTGGAATACCAATGTGACCTATGTACTCCACAGCAACAGTGAAGGCATTCAGGAGGTGTTGTGTCAATGGCTCTGAGCATTTCCCCTTTCCTCAATGAGACAAGGCCCTCAATATGAGCACCAACCGTGTCAGTCAGCAAATTCCCCAGAGCATTCATGAATCCATCAGAGTCTATCAGTCTCTGAGGGCAGACCATCTCAACGAGTCCCCCACCCCCAAATGGAGTAGCTACATTCAGCCCAAACCTCACCAATGGACTCACAGCAAGCCCCAAACACACACGTCAATGGAGTACTACCAATCCACCCTGTTGCAAAGACCAGGTCTAGGAACTGCCCTGCCACGTGTGTTGAACCACTGATATACTGAAACAGCCCCATGGTTGCCCATAGAGACCATGAACCACCAAGCTGGCCTGTTTGAAGCAGCTTCAGCATGGATATTGAAGTCCTGCAACACCACCAGGAAATGGCTCCAACAAAGCATCCAAAATTACGCCTGGAAGTTTGGTTAGGGAGGTTGTAGCACAACAGTGTGAAGGGTACATTAACAACATCCCAATCCCTTCCTCTGGCATTTATCAACAAAAACAGGCCACAGGGCAGCTGTCTGGCACCCCCAGATTCTGAAATACAGCAAGCAAAGCAGAGGGGGCAAGGGCTTTGAGGGAACTAGCTCTTCTCCCTCCCCTCTATACCTTCTCCCTCTTCCACATCACCCTCTACCTACTATCATAGGGATGGCAACCTCACTCCCATCCCATCTACCCACCCCCCATTGACCCAAGGGTATACATAATTTCTCTGCTCCACTTCTAGTAAATTACAAACATACAGCAGAGGATAGCATCAAGGGGCATTAGCTAGGCGACACAAAATAAAAATATCAGACGTGACACACCCCAGATTTTGTAAGGTGTTTTACAACGTGCTTTGGATACAGACATTGAAAACATTTAATCAGGATGTTAGGGCAACCTCTAAGAGGGTGTTCCAAGGCTGACATGCATTTAATTCTTTATTAATGCTCTTGAAAACATGGCAAATCAAGCTATGATCATGTATCAACAACAGTTTAAATCCATCATTTCTAAATCATGAATAAAGAAGTCATGAAGTTTGCCTTTATTTAAATGACTTCCAGAGTTCCTATGACAACCATTGTATAAAGCCTCATGACGGCCATAAATTGAGAAAGAAAGTTTGTATTAAAACTTCTATATTCCTTAAAGATCTATTATTCATTCCCACTAGATTAGTCACAGTGTGCATTCAAGGTAAAAGAAACAAAAATAAAAAAAGCTTGCTTAAGTCACTGAACAGCACTTAGAAGAATACTTACATTGACTTTCAAAGTGTTCAAAGGTTTTCAGACAAATGGAACAAAAATACTCTAGTGTGTGCTTTTTCAAAGTAGGTTTTTCCTATTTCTTCAGCCTAGAAATTTCCTCCCTGTGATTAATATATTGCCTCCCCTTCTCCCAAGAAAGGTTTTCACCTTTTAAACTATCTACTCCCTCTAAAATGTGTGTGTGTAGCATTGCATTCTGAACAAGCCAGGGCTAATGTTTGCTCATGATAATTATTATTAATGTCCCATTTTGTAATGCTTTCAGAATATTCATCACGTACCAGGTCTAACCGAAACAATCAAGTTTGGCCCAAGCAAAATAGTATGAGTTTGATTTCAGTGCTGAAATATAAAACTAGAATCAATTGATGGATTTTGGCCTGAGAATGTAGCACTGAATATGTATGCTATTTGCACATAAGCTGGTGCTGGGGTGTTTTAAGTCATACTTTTGAATTAATTCATCAATGCTGACAACTGTTCTGGCGTGACTACATGGGTATCACACTCCATATAGAAATGCAAATAAACTGATTAGTCCATGGTAAAGGTTCCCTTTATTTAACAACTAGCATTTTCTGGCCTCTGGCTTTAATAGTCTCCAACAAATATAAAAAAATGTTACATGTCTTGAGTGAGTGAGCACCCAGGCTTCATGTGGCAAAGCAGCATGCCAGGAGAATATTTCTCATCTCTGCTCCCCACAGCTTCTCAAGTAAAGGATGGCTTTTACAAACTAGTCATACTGGCCATTTGAAAATTATCTTGCAGGCTGAATTTTATCGACACAGCAAAGAGTTCCACAATGGCATACATAGCTGAGTGCAACTAAGGCTGTGTACATGCTCCCAATTACTCGTCGTCCAGGGCATTCCCGCAGCCGATTTGGAAAGTTGTGTACACACAACATTAGCCACCATCCATATCTATCCTGCATCTGCCCTGTTGTTTCTTGTGAAATACTGTGTTTCGATGCATTTCCCCACAAACCATCTTTGATCCAAATTGAGCAAAAGAATGACCTGGCTGTGTTTTAAACTAGTAATGTGCATATAGCTTAAAAATCTACGCAACAGTAAATCCACAGACTGTGACCCTGAAAGGCCCTTTGTTTGACCTTGGCCCCATCAAATTACCCACTGTGTATGGTTGCCACTGTACAGGTAGTGAGTCTTCTGTATTTTAGTAAGACTCCTGTGGATATAATTGCATTATTGCTCAAAGCGAGCTAGGGGAGAGGAAGATTCAAAAAGTCACTTAGTTTAGAGGAAAAATAAAGATTGCTGTAAAGAAGTATCCAGCATGATTCACCACACTCAGGGTTGGAAATATCCAGACTGTGGGCCTAATGAAGCCTCCCCATTTTGCTCAAAAGACCACTCTGGCCAAGCCATCTACCCTTCAACTCATGTCATATATAGCATCAGGTGAGTGGCAGCTTGGCAGATCAGATGTGATTGGGCCAAAGCAGGTTTGCAGACACTGCTGATCAGCTGTCACGACTTGCAAAGCACTGTGCTCAAGAGTATATAGTATAGTGACTATACTGTGACTAACACACAGCATTAATATCGAGAGACATATATCATCATCATCATCATTTGCTTACATTGTATCCCCACTTTCCACCAAATAGCACTCATTACACCTATTGGCAACGATGCAAATAAAATAAAACCACAATATAATTCAAAAAAACAACAACAAAGAAGCGGATCATCAATACAATCAAACAAATAATCGTTTAAAACCAAACTAACTCACACAAAATTACCTGTGTCAGTTTATGGGCCAAAGGCCTGTTTAAATAAAAATCTATTTAGCGGCCAGCAGAAGGTAATCAAAGATAGTGCTAGCCAAGCCTCGCTTGGCAAGCAGTTCTAAAGCCTTGTATTACATATTTAAATGACAACACTAAACAGGTTGACATCCACAATCACAGCCCCAAAACAAGTACAAGCCAGACAGTACAGACAGTACAGACAGGTTAGCAGTGTGGGAATGAAACTTTACGTTTAGGGTACTACTAGGGGAGTACCCCACAACTGCAAATCTGTGCTTTGGTTTAATATCAGCCTTCTGTCTGTGTGCAGCAGATCTTTGATGTGTCAAATGTATATGTGAATTGTGTCTGCTTATATTGCTTTTTTCTTACGTGAGACAAGATATGCTGAACTTTTTAACCACCCATGAGCCTGTATGAGAAGAAAGGGTCCTGGGGATAAAGTAGACGTATAAAAACACCGACGACATTGCTTTGGGTTCTGTGACGTGAGTATTTTTAAACATTGACTTGTTTTAGGGGGGCAGCTGCCCCCCAGCCCCCTATGGGGTAATGATCTTTCTTTTGCATGGTGTAAGCTTTCGTGTCAGCTTCACATGGCTAGATGTCTTTGAGACAAAATGCATTGCTCTGAAATGGCACTCCAACCAGGGCCGTCTTTAGCAGATGCAGCACCGGGGTGCAAATATCCGTCCAGTGCCCCGAAATTACCACGGATAGTGGGGGGGCATGAAACTGTGCACTGCCAGCCATTGGGGGGGCAACTCTTCCCCATGCCATTGCAGGAGAGGAATCCCTGCAGAGGTTTGGGAGGGAAGCTGTGCCCTGCCAACCATATGGCTGGCAGGTATGCAGCTACCCTCCCAAGCCTCCACGGGAGGAGAGCGTAGCTTCCCTCCCAAGTCTCCGCAGGATGAGAGCAATCCCTGCAGAGGCTTGGGAGGGAAGCTGCGTGCCCACCATCCATATAGTTGGTGGGGTGCAGCTTCCATCCTAAGCCTCTTCAGGGATCGCTTTCCTCCTCCCCGGAGGCTTGGGAGGCAAGCTGCACGCCCACCAGACATATGGTCGGTGGGGCACAACTGGAAGGCATGCAGGGAAAGGGGAGGCCGCCGGCAAAGCCGCACAGCTCCCCCACTCGCTGGGGTGCCCCTGAGAGGCTGGCACCCTGGCGCGACACACCACTAAGCCCTATGGAAAAGATGGCTCTGACTACAACTTC